AAAATCAGGTGAAGTTTCACATAGGTTAGCCAGTAACGCTGACCTGCTGTAGGCGGTCAGAGGACCAAAAACAAATTTTTTTACTTACAGGATCATTTCCAAAAATGGATATTTCTCGAGACCAAAAGCAAAAAGAGGGCCAGTTATGGGACTAAAGAACTTTTTTTGCCAATTTAATCTAGTATTTAACTTGTTCAAGAGAAATATTTAGTTATTTAGTAATTATATATACGATTGGTAAAATTAAATCATGTTTAAATGAATTTAAATGTTTGAGAATTAATTCAAAGGAAAGCATTGCCTATAATCTATGTTTAGTATCTTGTTTATTCCATAATTTAGATCAAGTATTTATTTCCTAGATAAATTAGTTTGTAGTTCAATTTCTTAGTTTATATTCATCATCCAAATTCGTTAGTTTAGATAATATTTATTTGTCATTTTTTAGTATTTTAATTAATTAACTACAATCACTGTCGTATACGAAGTTGCTCGCCACTATCTAAAGTTGCATCGTACACTTGTGAATAGAAAAATATTTAGCGAATAGAAGACAACCACATTATAAAACGAGGTTCTCAGGTTCTTTTACAATTTAACTTGCAATATATTTTAATATATCTTAGTTTGCAATTATGAACGAGATCTCTAACTTGAGTGTTCAGAGGTTTTTTCATTGAGGACTAATCATATCGTAGTCTGCATGTCACCTGAGTTCGAGTTTAAAGACGATTCATGATATCGCCGAACTAAGCTCGGCCAAGAGGCAATTTGCACGTTCAATCCGGTTTTAGTGTTATCTTATCTCACTATACAAACTTTAAATAAAAAAATAGAAAAGATGAGAATTAAAAACAATATTGGCGGGGGGAGCTTCTAAATGCTCGCCTCCCTGGTGCAGTTGAGGAGCTTCTGGATGCTCGCCAAACTAAGCTAGGGTGGCTTGCGTAGTTCGCGACGGGGCCACCAGGGCTGGGGAGTTTCCTTTTATCCCTTTCCCCCTTGGATTCTGGTGTGGGATTCAATTGGGGGCGGGACGACGGCCTTGGCTAGTGGTGTTAGACGGGGTTGAAGTTGCCGTGGTGTGGGGGCGCGATTGGAGCTCCTCCGGCAAGAGTCCGGTTGATTCCACGATCGGTTTGTGGTTCGGGTTCAGCTTCAGTTAGGCGGTTCCGGCATTTTGGGGAGCGGTTCTTTGGGAAGGGAATTAATCAGTAGGGTCAACAGTGTGTCCATCGGTGCTTAGTACGGGGTTAGATTTATTGTTGGGGAAGGACTGTGTTTTTCTCGTTTTGTTTGGTTAGTTTTAGTTTGTTTTGTTTTGTTCGTTGTTGTTTAGGTCTTGTATTTTTGGTTTGGGTCGTTGGCCTCTATGAGCCCGAGTGGAGCGGGTATTATCCCTTGGGGGTTGGTCATTCTCCATGTTGGGAGCGTTGTAGTTTGTTTTTAGTTTGTGTTGTAGTGTTGGTCTAGCATTGCTAGAGCGCCTCTAAGCGATCTCCGGATCTGTCCTCTCATTTATAAGTTCTTAGTTGTAATCCTTTAGCTTTGGGCTGCTTTGTTTTCTCACCTTTGCGTGCTTTATAAAATTCATATCGTTTCGAAAAAAAAAAACACAATATTGGAAAACGTCTGTCGTCAATTTCTCTCTCTCGTGTTTTTTATTTTTTTTTTTCTTTTATGTACTCCCTTAGTAAACTTATGTCAACGAACATATCTTTTAAATGTCGCCTTTTAGATATTATTGCCGATCAAACCCAACATAAGGCCGTAGTGGCGGATCCAGATTTTTTTTGGGGGGACTATATATTTTTTAATAATCTTAAATTTAATTTAATGTACATAAAAAATATAGAAAGTTGTATTATAAAATTATACATAATAATTGTGCAATATAGCTTATAAAGTTTTAAACATTGACATTAACAAATTTACATTGAACGCTCTCTCAACTCATGAATTTCTTTAATGATTGACTCCATACTAATAGTTTGATATTCTTTGTTTCCATTTAGGCTATGTTTGGTAGTCAAATAAGTTAACTTATAGCTTATCTGCTTAGCTTATAAGCTTCCTGTATTCAAATAAACCTTGTTTGTAGGACGAGCTTTTTTAAAAAGCTCGAGCTTATCTCATAAGCTTCTTTAAGTAGCTTTTCGAATAAGCTAATTGAATTTTTTTATTTCAGTTAGTTTATCAGCTAATTTTACCAAAACACTTTTATCATATAAACTAGCTTTTCAACTATAAGTCATAAGCTATAAGCTCGAAAATTACGTATAAGCTATAAGCTAGCTTGTCAGCTATCAGCTATCTTATCAGGTAGTTTTACCAAACATTGTAGCATATCTTATATGGTCTTCTTTTTAAAAAATTACCAATTTTTATTTTTTCACATATTTACTATACATTCAATCTATTTAAATTAAAAAAAAAAATTATACAAAAGTGTTAAAATACTATAATTATAGATGAATTATTAGTAAAAAGAGTAATACAATTGTTATTTTAATATAATTCTGTAAGTTTATTTGAAAAATGATATCATATATATACATTAAAAATTATAAATCTTGGGGGGTCAATGGGTCCTCCTAAATTACACATAGGTCCGCAGCCCAACCTTAAGGATTCCTTCCCCATTGAAACATGAAAAAATCAACGAAAGAAAAATGAATTATAAAGCTATTGCCGACCTCAATATTTTATAATAAATTAGGTCAAGTGATTTTGAGGTCAAATACTGAAAACATAAATCAAAAGGCATATAATTAATTAGAGGAAGGTAGAGGGGACCTCTCAGACATGACCCAGGTGAAATTTCATTTTACCTGTATTCTTATTATATCATACTTCCTAGCTTAGGTAGGCAGGTAACCCGTACCCGTCAGATATTTTGGTTGTATTATTGAATAATTCTTCCTTCCAAAAAAATATAAAAATTTAAGAAAAATGATACAAGGACATAATAAATGTACACAGAGGTTTGTACATAACATTCACATGGAGTGTAATCTATTTAATTTTTTATTTTTTGTAGGACCTACTTAATGTTAGTGTTATGTACACCTCTATGTAAAGTATTATGTACTTATAGCATTTCTCAAAATTTAAAAGCTACTACTACCAAGAAATAAATCCTTTACTTCAAATGACAACCGTCGCTCCTCAGTTTATTTGACTAGTGATGCCTTTACTTCAATGAATTTAGAATGAATTAATAATTTTGAGTCTTAACTCAATTTTGTACAAACCAGTTTACATTTAAAACAAAGTTGCACAAATTCTTGATCGCGAAGTTAGTGTCTTGGCATCCCCTATGGGCTCTTCCACGGCCCTCGGGACCATCCTGACTTCTACGTCGGCGACACCGTCCTCGCCCCCTACTGGCCTCCGATCCTTTCGGATGCGATCACTGGCCAATTCGCCGGTAAATTGGAACGTTAGAGATTCTCGCTCGAAAAATTCTGGGTTAATTACAGTAGGACTGTCTTGCGCTCCGAGACGAGACGATACAAGGTAAGTCTCCTAGAGCCTGATGTTTCTACTCTTGTCGGGCCGTACGACAATGCCTTCATTTTTAAGTTGTAGTGCCCAAAAGACATTACTACAAACTTGTAGTGCCCATAACAGATTCTAACTGCCGCCTTTTGACACATCAGACCTCTTGATCTTCAGCTGGTGGTAGCCAAATCTCAAATCGATCTTCGAGAATACGGTAGCTACCCTCAGATGATCGAACAAGTCTTATCTCCTCGGTAGCGGTTAATTATTCTTCATCGTCGGCCTACTAAGTGTTGGGATATGTGAGGATCTCGTTATGTACAAATCACGAATTCAATAGCAAACGTAAACCTATGCGCAATGGATCTAAAGTTTTGACGTAGAAAACTTACACCTTAAAATTTTTTGAATCTGATGGATTCGGGATGATCGGGAACAGCACACGAACGAAACTGGACCACGAACAGAAGCTGGTCGGCTCGTGTGGGGAATCATCGGGTCGTGTCGCGCGTCGCGTCTTCCCGGCGACCGGGTCCGGCGGTCGTGTCGTGGCTGAACAGGTCATCGCGGCGGTGGTCGGCTCGTTCACGGCGGCTCTTCGGTAGGTCTGGTCGGCGGTCCTTGGCTTCGAGTCGTGGATGGTCGACTGCTGTAGAAGATTATGGAGTCTCGATTACCTATGGATCATCTACTGTATTATTCAAACACCTTCTTCAACTTGTACTAATGGAGCAACAAAAAGAAGATAAAGCTCGAATGAGAAATGAGAGAGAGATGAGAGGGGGCGGATGATACACGTTAATTGTGTTGTCTCTTCTCTTTTCATGAGTTTAATGATGTATACATAGAGCTACAGTAGAGACCCTTAGGAGATTAGGAATAGGGCTCCTTAATTAATTAGCTAGACAAACTGTGGGTCAAACTCACTCTTTTAATTAATTAAATAATATTATGGGTCACCAACATAAATATTATTGAACTCCCTTTTCCTAGCCCAAATTACATTTGAGACTCCAATTATAATTACTCGATTTACCTTCCCACGTTTAAGATATAATATCCATTAATTAATTCGCTTATTGACAATCAAGAATTAATTAATT